GCCTCCCACTTAATCAATACTGTATAGTAACAGGGTGGAAAGACAACAGGGATGAACTGGAATCTTTGGACAAGAAAGGAAAATACAAGCACTCTGGTGGTTTTTCAATATGTAATCTTCATACATTTTCAATGAAGGAATGAAAATTAAAGTATAAAGATTTGCCTGTTAGGGGAGGGAGGCAGACTTTGAATAGGGACAGTAGCAAGTATGATGTCTTTGTGAGAATTCTTTTGCACAGAATGGATAAGATGGACAACATGAGCATTAAAACAATAAAAGAGCTAGTTTCCATGTTCTAAGAAATACATTAAACACATTGCAGCTTGGAAGTATTCTCTTTAATTTTTACAACTGGCCTAAAATGTTTTGTTTCATTGTCTACAATTTTTACTCCTAGAAGTTAAGCAGTTTGTTAAATCAAACAAAGCCATTAAGTCATTTCCTGGACAAGGATTTGAATCTAGATATGTTTAACTCCTGAACTCTCAGTCTCAGACTCTGCACTGAGAGAAGCTGCTTGAGCAGGGCCCTTGACAATGGCCTCCTAAGTGGTAAAAGTTATCTTATCTCAGGCTTCTCATGAAGTTAAACGTTGCTTTTACATTTGTATTTGTTCTCCCAGAGGGGAATGGTAAAAGACGTTTCACTTGTCTGTTCCCTCTTTACAGGGCACCATGACACCATTAGTATTTAACGCCCACATCTCTTATGGAAATGCCATGCCTTCATCGTGCCATGATGCCATTTTTTTATTTGTATTAGGTTATATTTTTTATAACAACTGGTAGGCGATCCCCTCCTTCCTCTTTGATAGTTTTCAGCTTTGCAGGCTCTGCAAGCATCCTTCGCTCAGCTAATACAAACAAATAAGCAGCACGTGTCCTCAACTTCCATGATACATTCGCTTCACCTTCACTGCCTACCTGTACTGAAATCCCTAAACCTGGACACGTCAGCAAGCATAACGAAGAAACGATCCATCTTGACAGATGATTCTGAATATTAGAGAGGTTGGTTATTCTCATCATCTGATGATTTTCTATACTTTAAGTTCATGGGTTCTCTTTGAGCATCCATTTAAAGTTGACACATGCCTATGATCTCTTGAAAGTCAGTTTTATACAGCTGTATACATCTATACAGCTGATGCCTATGATCTCTTGAAAGTCAGTTCTATACAGTTCTATCACAATCCACTTTCTTCTCAAACCAAGGACAAGCAAACAAAGCCTTGAAAAGTAATTTTCACGAAGAAGTCAGGCTGCTCTTCCTAATGAGCCAACATAAACCTCACTTTTCCAAAGATCTTAACGATTTTGCTGATAATGATTTGGTTACTTCAGATTTAATTTTCAGAGGCATTTTTAACAGGAAACTCTGTACATCGTATTCCATATCCATCAAAATTCAGTCTGAAGCCTGAATAGTACGTCTCATATAAACACTAAAAAGGTGGGTGGTAGCAGGAAATTTAAAGATGTTTATGTGATCGGATTCTCCGTTGAATCAGTAAAATTTTCTTATCCTTTGCCTTTCTAAAGCAACTACCCTAGATGCGGATCTAACTTCTCGCCACTCACGCCATCTAGTGGCTATGGATGTTCAAAGCTTGACTTTAAGGAAGACACCTAATGACTGGGGGCGGGGTACACGAAGACCAAAATCGGTTGGCCACTACAATTTTCCTGTCTCTCTTCACATCACTCACCCCTCACCCGGACACCTTTTCCTCCTCTGGCCATTTCAGATCTGCGCAGGGGATGCGCAAAGAGCATGAAGAGACACACACTCTCAAAGACGCACGCCCCTGCACGCTGACATTTAAAAAAGGGTCTAAATTCTCCTGTCATTTGCAAAGGACAGGGGAAAGGAGTTGTGGCAAGACCTAGCCAGAGGAGACTTGTCTGACTTTTTCAGCGAGTTGGACGGGTAATACATTAGCCTCAGAAACGTTAACATCTGTTTTGAACAAAAATAAATTTTAAAAAAAATTAAAGAAAGAGAGGAATCACTTAAAAATTCTGCCGCGGAGCTTTGCAGGTTTTGCGACCCACTCGCCCCCAGAAGGCAACCAATTCCTTCGCGTTCCGCTCCGCTCACCCTCCTTCCCAGCTTTTCTCGAACCCTTTTTTTTTTTTGCCCCCCCCCTTTCCCACGCTCATCTGGAACCGGGGCTCCGGAGGCAGCAGTAAGCCACGGGTCCCCTTCCTCCTCTCCTCCACCAAACGGCCGCAGCCAAGAGCCCTGAAGCTTCTCTTTGTTCATCCGAGGCTCGCTCATCCCTGGGGCACAACCACCTGGATGCTCTCCCTTGGCGACATTTGGTGCCTGGGCTGGTGGGTGGCTAGGGTGGAGCGAGAGGAGCCCAGGGGGGCGGGGGCGGAGAAAGGTCAAGGCGAGGGAAAGGCAGGAGACGCCTTTGCCTAACCTGCGTGGCGGGGCGTGCGTGCGGCTCTCGCTCTCTTCTTCCCTGCTTATTTATCGATCGCACGGGCAGAGCTGCGCGCCGAGCCCGGGGGAGATGCGGGACCACCCACTGGCGGGGAAGCAGCGAGCAGCCCTCTCGCGCCCCCGCGCCGCCGCCGCCGCCGCCGCCGAGCGCCTCCTGCCTCCGCGCCCGGACGCCAACCCGCTCGCGCCTCGGCCCCGGCCCCACGCCGCCGCCGCCGCCGCCGCCGCCGCCCGCCCCGCAGCCCCGCAGCCCCGCAGTCCCGGCACCCCGCAGCCCCGCAGCGCCCCGACCCCGGGGACGCCGGCCGCGCAGTAAGTTGGCAGGAGCGAGTGGCCTGGGCGGCTCGCCTCCCCCGCACCTTTTTGAACTTGTTGCTGTTGGCTCTGCTCGCCTGCGCCTGGCTTTTGGGAAGGTGACAAGGAGGAGGGAGGCACGGAGGGGTGGGGGAAGGGGACGGAGAGCTCGCCAGAGCTTTATTTATGCTCCCCGGGCGCCTGGGATCCGGCTGCTCGGGAGCCGCCGGCTCTCCCTTTCCTTTTCCGGGTGCAAGGCGACGGCAAAGTCTCTATGCAACTCAGCCCCGGCGCGCACTTTGCCAGGTATGTACCGCGGGCGAGGCGCGTTCTGCGCGGAGGCAGATGATGCTGCCGCCGAGGCGGCGGCGGCTGCCAGCTCCGGGGCTCTATAACTGTCACACTGCACCTGAGCTGAACTTGAACCGAGAGTGAAGGGGGCCATCGGGGGCGAACGCTCCTGGCTGGCGCAGAGGGTGTCTGTCGTCGTCGGGGAGAAAGAGCCCCAGACCGACGCCCCCCGCCGCGAGCCCTGCACTTCACCTCCATCTCTGCAAGCGCCGCGGGAGCAGAGGCGGCCAGCGGACTCCCAGGGACGCGGGACAGTGCCTGTGACCGCATCTCTCCGGAGCTACAACAACAGGTCGTCTTTTTGAGACGCCTTTGGCGGGAAGGACTACTTCAGCCGGAAAGGGAAGGTGAAAAGGTTCTTTCTTTGAAGAGACTACCCCTGGGCGACTCCTCCTGCTTCCTCTCTCCTGCTCTCTAGACTGACCCCATATCAGCCAGACTGTGCCAGGCGAGGAGAAGTGAAGACACCTGTTTGAGGCTGTCCCCGAAGTCACCTGTGTGCTTACATGTGCCAGGAGGTGCCCTGGTCCGACTGCTGGCAGAGATCTGTTTAGGTTCTATGGAGAGAGATTTTTAGGTCACTGTATTTTTTTTTTTTTTTCTTAGTATTCCAAGTATACTTGTCTGCGAGGGAAACTTGGCCTTCTGAGAACTGTGACTTCACCTGCGACACCTTGGAATAACCGTGTTCCTGTGAACAGTGTTCCCCGGTGTTTCGTTTGACGTGAAGAAGTGAGTGGGGCCGTTGTGTTACTTTTCTCGTGTCGCTTTGGGTAACCCTGATCACTCGTGTGACAACATGGCGGCTGGTGTGGCAGCATGGCTGCCCTTTGCCCGGGCGGCAGCCATTGGGTGGATGCCTGTGGCCTCGGGGCCTATGCCCGCTCCCCCAAGGCAGGAGAGGAAAAGGACTCAGGATGCTCTGATTGTGCTGAACGTGAGTGGCACCCGCTTCCAGACCTGGCAGGACACCCTGGAGCGGTACCCAGACACTCTTCTGGGCAGTTCGGAGAGAGACTTTTTCTACCACCCAGAGACCCAACAATATTTCTTTGACCGTGACCCAGACATCTTCCGCCACATCCTCAATTTCTACCGCACGGGGAAGCTTCACTATCCCCGCCACGAGTGCATCTCCGCTTATGATGAAGAACTGGCCTTCTTTGGCCTCATCCCAGAAATTATTGGCGACTGCTGTTACGAGGAGTACAAGGACCGCAGGCGGGAGAACGCGGAGCGCCTGCAGGATGATGCGGACACTGACAATACCGGGGAGAGCGCGCTGCCCACCATGACTGCTAGGCAGAGGGTCTGGCGGGCCTTTGAGAATCCTCACACCAGCACCATGGCCCTGGTGTTCTACTATGTGACTGGGTTCTTCATCGCCGTCTCAGTCATCGCCAATGTGGTGGAAACAGTTCCCTGTGGGTCTAGCCCAGGCCACATAAAAGAACTGCCTTGTGGGGAACGGTATGCGGTGGCCTTCTTCTGCCTGGATACCGCCTGTGTCATGATCTTCACTGTTGAGTACTTGCTTCGCCTAGCCGCAGCACCTAGTCGTTACCGTTTTGTGCGCAGCGTCATGAGTATCATCGACGTGGTGGCCATCCTGCCCTACTACATTGGGCTGGTGATGACAGATAACGAGGATGTCAGCGGAGCCTTCGTCACGCTCCGAGTCTTTCGCGTCTTCAGGATCTTTAAGTTTTCCCGCCACTCCCAAGGCCTGCGTATACTGGGGTACACGCTGAAGAGCTGTGCATCAGAATTGGGCTTCTTGCTCTTTTCTCTCACTATGGCTATCATCATTTTCGCCACGGTTATGTTTTATGCAGAGAAGGGGTCATCAGCAAGCAAGTTCACCAGCATCCCTGCGGCCTTCTGGTACACCATCGTCACCATGACAACACTGGGGTAGGTGCTGTTGTAGGAAGTGGGATGGAGATAGGACGCGAGTGGGTTGATGGTGAATCTCTTAAGGCTTTCTGATACTTTAGAGTGACTACATGTTTCTCTTAGTGGATTTAAGAAAGCAATAAAGGTTTGGAAAAATCATTTCGATCTGTGAAATGGGGATGCCAAAAAGATTGGAAGTATCAGAGAGTTGCAGGCCAATATTAAGTATTAATACAAGAAAGTGACAAGTACGGAATTAATAGACTAATTAATAGGTACAGATAGTGTATTTCAACCCAAGAAATCTGTCTTATTTTACATAATTGTAAAATTTGTAGATATGATTATCAAAATATTTTATAATATATCAGTATGTCATCATGATCATTTTCATTATGGCTATTAGGCTATATTTAGAATACCAGACCTGAAAGTGGTCAACTATACAAAATATAATGTTTAAAAGTCTAGGCTCGTCCCTCTTCCTCTCATTTTTTTTAAGGAAGCATATGACTCTCATCTCTACAGTTTTCAGAAGCTATGGACTCCATCAAGCAAGAGACTCTACAGATTGTCCATCAAATACATATGGAAGGCAGAGCAGTGTCCGTGAGATTAATGGTTACCATAGGCCAGTTGCTGTGTAGAATTTTGAGTTCCAAATTTCTTGTAGAATTCTTTCGTACTTCCTTTTATTTGGGGCATGAAGTTTTAGAAACCAAAGGAATATATTCTGAATCCATGATTTCTGAAATGTACTTCTAAAGAAAGAATTAATATTTCTTTAGATGTTATAAAGAATTGTGTGAAATGATTATGAATGTTAGTCAAACTGCAGAAAAGTAGCAGCACTCGCCACAGTAGAAAAACTAACAAAATGATAAAATTGAAGGAGCCCGCTACTTTTTTGAGTTCTTGGAGATAATCCTTGGAGAGATACTAGCGCTTTCTTGAGCTCTGTGTGATCTTTCTTGAAAGCCTAGGTAATCAGCGCAAGAGGGATTTGGTAATGTCTATAAGAAAAAAGTTATTTCCAAGGCTGTGTCTTAAGTTTTGTGTTTCTGGCTCATTTAATTGGCTTCCTTAAGTGACATTGTGGTTAAAGGCACCTTAATTTTAGTGGACATATTGTGAAGAACAAGATTTCTCATGTTATATGGCCAAGTAGTGGAATATGTTTTCATGAGAGGAATGTTTGCCTGAGGTAATGAAAAAACTGGCCCAAAGTAGAATATAATATTTTAGATTTTGATTAAGTCTCAAGTATCTTTGAGAGTGTACTGATAGATTTCCGAAACATGATTGAATGAAATCTGCATCCTTTTGTTTTTTATTTCCCTTTATTCCGTTGCTCGTTTTGGGACAGATAGGAGAAGATGTAAAACACCTTAGCAGTACAAGTGCTTACCCCTTATGGAAAAGAGTTATGTTTTCTTTCATTTTCTTTTTTTTTTTTTTTGTCTTTGTGTTCTGTGGAATCATGAAAGGACAATCAGGTAGTGTGCATTGCTGTCATGATTTCACGTTTGAACTGTACTAAAGAAGATCTATGTTAAGAAGAAAACAAAAGAGGGACTACTAAAAGGCAGCACACTTTAAAAAAAAATTGGTGGCATGCAGGTTTTTCATGAGATCTCCGTGAGTCTTTTAATGTTGCATATTGTCTAGATGATTGAATGTAGGTATCATTACAAGGAATGGGGACGAGTTGTTAATTTTAAGGAGCTGAAATTTCCATTCTAGACTTGAGGAGTTAAGGTTAACATTTATTTTTGGAGATGATTTCCAATTTTTACCTTATCTTGAAATATATACTTACTTTCTGGAAAAAAGGGGATATGTTAGCTATTACTGATGAGTTTTATTATATAAATTAGATGCTTACCAGCATTCTTTTGTGAATGAGTTGAGAAACTAAGTTGCGACACTTGAGCAGAATCTAAGCAATCGATTCCATCTGTCCTATAGGTTAGCAGATAAGAAACAGTTAAGTACACATCCTTTCTAGAACTTGGAAGCAACATGGGGTTGATTTGAAGATTTTTAAGTTTTACTGAAGTTGAGAATTTTATTTTTAAGAGATTAAGCTAATTAATGACTCTGATGGAAAACAACACCCAGGCTTTTCATATGCAGAAGCAGTCAAAATGAGAATATATGTGAACATTTAGCAAAGCCTATGCTTTATATAATATGCAGCACTCTCTTAGGGGAATATCTGCAGTTCCTTATCTAAATGTGTTTGTAGTATTTTAATTGCTTGGACTATAGATTCTTAAATGACTTGTCTTGTTGGTGTTTTATTGTTAGTAGCCTTGTGGCTCTGTGTTATTGAAGAATGACAGAGATGTGACACGTCTGTCCCTGACTTTATCTTTTATACTGCAACTTTAGAAGGTTAAGTATAAACTTTCTAGAAAACAAGCAGTAGTTGTAGCAATTGTCAGGCTATGTCTGATAGACATTCAAGAATTTTCTACCAAACTTTCTAAGTTCTCTTTATGTGGCTATTATTTTTAATGAAACTGTATTTATTAATTGATGATATTAGATGTGAAGTTGATAATCCACATGACATTATCAGAAGTACCACGTGATATACATAGCATTTTCATAAGAAAAAAAAGTAATCAAGGTGTTGTGACTCAGGTGTGACAGAATCAGCTACTGCTTCTGAGGTCACCGTAGACAATATCCATTTGGTTTTGCATTTTAAGAACGCAGTGTGCCTGTCTCGGGATTACTATATTTACATAATCATTTTTGGCTTCATAAAACATTTGCTTTATAATAGCTTGTAACATGATTATGCTTACCATGTAAGTGTCTAATCTTCCAGTAAAAATGTATATAGTTTTAAAGATAGACATCTTTCATTAGTAAAAGTAGAAAACATTGAAAGCACATTTAAAAAAATCAATAGAAGTACATAAGAAGAAATCTGTTTTTAAATGTTTAGATTGAGTGATCTGTACATAAGTTCCTCCATCTCACCCCTCCCCTTTTGAGCATAGTTATTGACAGACATAGGGACGGAGGCTCTCCCCCTACCCTGCCCACTCTGCTCTCCCCTTTCCATAATTCAAATTCCATTGCCTTAACCTATCTGAGCCCAGAAAGAACCCCCAGCTCCTCTCAGGTCAGGGTTTGGGAGTTCATACTCAGTTGTATTTTGCTGAGGTGCAATTGCTTGCAAAATACTAAATTTAGGAAATGTGTAAGTGTTCTCTAATGACAGTCAGAAATTGCTTTATGAAATTGGTCCGGTGGAGCTGAGGCTCAGTTTACAATTCTACTTCATGCTCCTGACTTGTGAATTGGAAGAGATTTCAGGCTGCACACTAAACGCTTGGGGACTTATTATCATGTTAGGCAGCCTTTGGGTTCTCAGTCATGGTTTCTAATCATATTCCTCGTAATATGAAGTTCAAGATGTTCAGAAATTCGTTTCTGTGGGCTATTTCACTTCTTTAACCAGGTTGTTTGCATCAGAGATTTCTGTATGGGAACGAAAGAGGCGGTGTGGCATTTCTGAAAAGCTCACATTTAAGATGCAATGCTTTGTCTGTTTGAGGGGCCCCGGGCAGTAGGATCAGGATCTATCCCTGGTGCATGAGCTGGCTTTTTGGAGCCCATTACCTGTGGTGAGATGCCTTGCTCAGCCTTGATGTAGTGAGGAGGGGCTTTGTCCTGCCTCACCTGAATGTACCAGGCTT